AGATCGTTCGTCGCGTAGAAATTTTAGCTGAATTTCTGTCGCGCATTTTCAAGAAAATCCCACAAAATCTGCACATTTTTGATGAACTAATGATTTATTTTGTCTTTTGCGTGTTGGGTCTTGCGAAAGAAAACTCTGAAAAGGGAAACGACAAAACGCGGACCCCAGGTCCATGGACTACCTTCGTGGACCTGGTCCATGGACTACACTCGTGGACCACGGACCACTCCCGTGGACCACTCTCGTGGACCACTTGCAAAATTTCGCCTACCGAACAATAGACCAAACACTATTATTCCGAGTTTAGGGAGCCGAGATTGGCGGGAACTATTTCATTATTCATTTCCATTATTTATTTCACAATCAATTCAGTTTTTGTTGATGAACAGTGAATACTAAGTCTGTAAAAATGCTGAAAAAATGTAGTCAGGGTTCCATTAAAATATATAGGAATACTGTGGAGAATCTGGAGGGGAGTCTGAATTATTCGAATTTTACTGTTAAAAAATCACTTGAACTGTAGAAGTCGTAAGTTGCAATGACCTTTCAATGCCTGAAGGTCCTCTCCCAAAAATATTAATTTTTGAAGCTCGATTACTGCTTTTCTTGCATTTCCTGTAGCGATCGAGAAAAAAAACTACCAATTTTAAGGGCATATATTCGGAAACTTTACATTCAAAAGTCGTAATTGCACACTTATATTTTAGAACAGTCATGTAGTGAATGGATTTAGAACTTCACATTTTGTGTAAAGTTTCCACAATGATAATAATGACTGAACTCGACTCAAGCACATTTTTGCATGCACAGTCAAGAATTCAAACCCCAAAAATCTGGTGTCTCGCAAGTGGTCCATGAGAGTGGTCCACGAGAGTGGTCCACGAAGGTAGTCCACGGACCAGGTCCACGAAGGTAGTCCACGGACCTGGGGTCCGCGTTTTGTCGTTTCCCCTCTGAAAATGCCATTTCAGACCATCTAGAGACTCCAGATTTTCGAAATTTTCTCAAATGTTCTGCCTTCATTTCCGCGCAACTGCCATTTACGACGAAAATTCCCGCTGCGCATTTATAATACTACAGTCTGGCCCATACTTTCCTGTAAATTTCGACATACTAAAACGCTGTTTTCTGACTATCAGAATTCTGTTAAATCTTCCCCCAAAGTCCAGGAAATGGCATTTTAGAGACTCTAAATTTAAAAATTTCCTCGGGCCTTCGGCCCTCGCTTTCAACCCCCCAATCGAAAAGAGCTTCCTACGGCCCTAATTTTTGTTATACAAAAAGACCATTTTGAAACAAAAATTCTCATGATGAGCGCTTTTTGACGGTTGACAGACTGGTGCCTAGTTTTCGAGAAGATGAGAGACAGAAAATTTTCGAAGAATGTCATTCTGCCCCTTTTGCAGGTCACTGTGGAAGGGATAATACGATAAACAAGATTCGAATGCGCTATTGTTGGCCAGATTACTATAAAGAAACAGTTGAAATGGTGAGTACATTATACATAGAAACAGCAGCATTATTCTTTATTTAATAACAATAAAAACGCCAGTTGGGCTTAATAAAAGTTCCTGTTATTGCTCAATCTAGCTGAAAGCTGCTACAACAACCAAGGATCAAAATGTTGACATATGTGTAAATTACCAGCCTATTAGTATTACAGAGCATTTGTAATGGAGTATGATTCTACTAATATTATAAAGATAAATTATAATCAACATTAATATTTAAAAATTTGCATGTTTACAATTACATGTATTCATCTATAGATAAAACGCTGTGATCGATGTCAGCGCAATGCACCAGACAACAACACATAT